TGGGAGTCTCTGAGTGTGAAATGAACAGGAGCTAGGGATGGAGATGTGGTTCCTGGCACGTAGCCTGGGTGGGAGCTCCCCCAGCCCTGGATCAGGCCAGGGACAGAGACAGAGGCATTTTGTCATTGTGCTGTCCTTCTTTTATTCTTAGGAAGAGAGTCCCCAGGTGAGGGTTCATGGGACTTGATTCCAGGTCTGCAAGGCTCCAGATGTGCAGTGCATGGGGGTACCAAGGCATCTAGGCAACAAGGCAGATCCTTGCCCTTCTGCTGAGCCAGTCCCCACTTTGATCCTGGTTCCTGCTTCCGTGCACCACCCTGCTCTGCCCTCCAGTTCCTGGCTATTGACTTGGCTTGACCCTCGTCTCCGGTATCTGGCTGCTGACCCTGGCATGACCCTTGGCTCTAAATCTTGACTACAAACTCTGGCTCAGTATTGTCCTTGCCCTCCTCTAGTCTCGCTCCAGCCCCACCAATGACCTGCTCCAATCTTGCCTCCTCCTCCTGATCTTCCCCAAACCCTCAGACTCTGACTACCTGGCTTTGACCTTCTGCCTGTATCTGGACTCTGGCTTCATATCGTCTTGGCTTTCCTTTGGACTCTGACCACCTGACTTCGACCTCTGGCCTGCACCTGGACTCTGGCTCTGGTTCTGATTCTGGTTTGTCTGTGGACTCTGATCTTGGTTTTGACCTCACCCTGTCCCTGGATCTTGATTCCAGCACCACCCTTTGCCTAGGTCCAGCCCTACGCCTAACTGTGTCCTACGCTCCAACCACCAGACCTAATTATCGGTGGCAGCACCTGACACCAGGTGGTGAAATTTTTGCAGAAAGGCAGGCCTTCCGCACCTAAGTGGCCTGTGCACAAAAGGGGACACATTATACCAGGTGTGAACAATGGCCTTGCTATGTGAGCCTGGCCCTGTGGTGCCCCTACTGCAGTGTTTTGATGGGGATGACTGAAAATTCAGGGGTTTCCTTAACTAGCCTCTGCTGCTGGACCTACTCCATTATTCTTGGGTCTGACACCCCACATTCCTGATAAATACTAGGGATATCATAGAATCATAGAATATCAGGGTTGGAAGAGACCTCAGGAGGTCATCTAGTCCAACCCCCTGCTCAAATGTGGATATCTTCAAAAGAAATGCAGACACATTGCCTCTGTGTCGAGACTAAGAATGCCCTATTGATCACCAACCTTGGCCGAAAGTTGCCTTTGGCCGTATTTACCCACTGTCCGAACCAGAACTGGTGGCTCTCCCTGCGTATAGTCAAGAAAAAACAAGTGTTTATTTGCTACTCAGCATGTCATATAGGGGCCCTGGCTCTCTTTGGAAAGGAGAAAGGTGGGAATCTGAACTTCTCTGTAGACTACCAGGCCCTGAACGAAGTGACAGTTTGGAATCCCTACTTTTAATCCCAGAATCATTGGATCACATGAAATCTGATGGATATTCATCAAACTAGACCTCCAGGGACTTAGAATCTAATACTCATTTGGGTAGGGGACAGATTTGAGCGGAAAGACAGATTTCCAACATATTATGGACATTTTAAATATCCGGTAATGCCATTTGGACAGACTAATGGCTCTGTGACCTTGCAACACATCATCAGTGATTTATCTGGGGACATTCTGGATCAATACATTGTCATCTATTTAGATGCCATACTTCTCCTATTGGAGAACCCAGAGCAGCACATGCACCACATCAGAGGTTGTGGCAGCATGGTCTATATGCAAAACTGAAAAAGAATACCTTCGGCCAATCCTCCACGGAGTTTTTGGGGCACATCCTCTCCCCAGAAGGCATTAAGATTGATCCAAATAAAATGGAAGCCATTCGCAACTGGGAGGCAGCTCGGAGTGCTCAAGAAGTGCAGCGCTTCCTAGTCTTCGCCAGTTTCTACTACTGCTTCAGCCCAGGGTTCACAGAGCGAATAACCCCCATGATAGCTCTCCTCCACAAAATCGCCAAATTTGTCTGGTTGCCCCAGGCCCAAGAAGCCCTCAAATGGCTAAAAATGCCTTCACTGCTGCACCTATTCTGGCGCACCCCGATTCAATTGGAGCATTTCATCATGGAAGTTGATACACCTAATATGGCCATCGGGACTGTGTTTTTTCAGGCATGGCCCCAAGCACCTGTTGCACCCCGTGCATAACACTCATGGAGGCTCACCCCCCTCCCCCAGACCAAAACTACTAGAGCCGTGATAATCTGTTGCTTCTAATTAAATCCTCATTTAAAGACTGGTGTCATTAGCTGAAGGGGGCTTGATACTCAGTGCAAGTTTATACTGATCACAAACACATCCAGTATCTGCACAAGGCCAAAGCACTGAATGAGGGACAATTCAGCTAGATCTTATTCTTCTCCTGCTTCAATTTCAAGATTACTTAACTTATTGACTGGGAACCAAGAATGGGCAGGCCTACATCCTGTCCCATAATAGAGAATATAACCAAGAGGGGGAGAAAGCTAGCCAGAAATAGCCCTAGCTCCTTAAGCCCCACAACGTGCTTAATGCTGCCATACTTCAAGCTCTAATCATGCTAATTTGATCAGCCTCGCGGGATGACTTGTTGGCCAGGGAATGGGGGACCCCTCGGAGCAATGGAGCCAAGAATGAGAATAAACATTCCTTGTAGGACACAATAACATTAACTGAGGGCTTCATGTGTGTTCTGCCAGGATGTCCCCATTTGAAGGTACTATATCCGAACCAGGAGAATTCCCCTGCAGGGCGCTTTGGATGCCTCAATACCTACTGCCTAACCTCCTGCTTCATTTAGTGCTGCCAGATGTGGGCTGAAATTCAGACTTATGTTCAGTCACGTGACTTTTGCGCTTGCATGAAGGCACCACACACCAGACTTCTTGGCACCCTTATGGTTCTGGAGACCCATTTCCATGGATTTCATTGTAGAACTCCCTGAATCAAATAGCCATATGGAAAAACTGACTATCATAGATCAACTGAGCAAGATGGCACATTTCATCCCCAGTTACCACGTACGTTTGTCTGAGAGGACAGATCAGCTCCTAGAAACAAATGTCATCTCCCTGCATAGGCTTCCTAACCACATCACTTCTCATAAAGGGCCCCAGTTCATTTCTTGTTTCTGGCGCTAAACTATCCGGCTACTAAACATCCACACCAATGCCTCCTGGGCATACTACCCACAGATGAATGGCAAGATGGCAAGCAATATTGCTCCAGTACTGGAGCAATATTTATGTTGCTTTTCTTAATTACAACCAAGAGAATTGCTCCCCCACCCTCCTACGCTACTCAGAATTTGCAAACCACAAACCCAATGGTACTTTTTTTTGCTATCTATAGATTTCCCTCCGATTTCATCCCACACTACCAACAGACTCTCCGAACTCGGGGGCTAGCCACCTGCTTCAATGAATCCACCACATTCAAGAATGTCCGTGGCAGCAGTTCCTGCCCCGTTCCTTGACCTTCTGATCCCATCCTCCTCCCCCTGGCTGAAGGAAGCAAACTCTGGGTCCCTTCCCTCACCCTGGCACAATACACTCCCAGAGTGTCTGAGTCTCTTGCTGACAATGGGATTGTCCTCTCCTCACTCCCTGGGAGGGAGGAAACTATTATCCCCATTGTCCCGGCTCTACCAGCTACTACTGCAGAAGAGGGGTAACAAACCCAGCTGGGGAATGTGACCTACCGAAACGAGCCCCTCCAAGACTAGCTCCAGCGGGCCATTGGGACCTCAATATAACCAGGGGCTCTCCTTTGAGACCAACCCAGACGAGCAGTGTGACCCCGATAGAACCAAGGGTCTGCTCTGAGACTGACTTCAGCTGGGCAATGGGGCCCCTATAGCAGTGGTTCCCCACCTTTTCTCTGACACAGCACACCTCGAGCACCTGAGGTTCCTCCCCACCCCCGGCTGGCAGCTGCAGGAGGGAAGGGGAGGGGCAGAGGAGCCGACCCATTGCTCACATTGTGGGCAGGAGGGAAGGGAAGGAGATTGACCCCAGCTGGTCAATAGGACCTCTATGGAAAAGTGGCCCTCCTTTGACACTCACTCTGCAGGGCTATAAGACTCTAGAGAAAGAAGACCCCTCCTCTGAGACCGACCCCAGCGTATATAATTCTTCTTTCTTTTTCCCACTCCCTGAATTAGGAAGAGATAAGTGCGAAAGTGCCAAAAAAATTGGCTCTTTTATCTGACAGCCCAGCTCTGTCCCCCACCCCAGGGAAATCAACCCATCCATGGGGCTGCCAGCTGGTGAAGAGGCAGGAATGGTGCTATTGAGACACATGGAGGGAAAAATCCCACAGTGAAGGCAGGGGAAGGAGCAGGGACCACAGGGGAAGGACACAAAGCTTGCAGGATGTCACCAGCTGGGTACCTAGGGCCAGATCCTGATTTCAGTGGGAGTGGGGGGTTCTCAGCATTAGACGCCTTCATTAACAGGGTCCCACTCCTAGAGCACAAAATCCGTAATGGTCACATGATTTCTGTGATGAATGGAACAATCCCCCTCCAGATACTAAACTGCCTGGTGGTGACCCTGCGAATCCACTGGGACATGGATATCGTGAGGGCCCCAGCCAGTGTGCACCCAGCAATGGAAACAGACAAAAACAGGCACTGAAACCAGAATGAAAACTCTCACAAATGTGTGCATAGGGGCCGATTCCACGGGGGAAAATGGTGGCTGCTGAGCACCAACTGGCAGCCCCCTATCAACCCTCCTCCTTCACTGTGCCTCCCACCTGCTGCGATCAGCTGTTTTGCCGCGTGCATGAGGCTCTGGGGAAAGGGGGAGGAGCAAGGATGCGGTGCACTCAGGGGAGGAGGTGAAATGTGGCGGAAAGAGGTGGAGCAGGGGTGGGAAGAGGTGGAATGGGATGGGGACTTGGGGGAAAGGGTGGAGTGGGGATGGGGCCTGGGGCAGAGCCAGGGGTCTAGCATCCCCCAGCATATTGGAAAGTTGGTGCCTGTGAATGTGTGTGTCTTTCTTTCCCAGGCCTGGACATCAGAGATGCCAAAGAGCTGTGGTGTTGGGACGGGCTTCAGGACACCAAGCGCCTTGGCTATAGGAATATGGCCAGAGCGGGGGAGGTAAGGACTCTCAACCTGACTCATCCTGACTCACCACCTCAGGTGTGGAGCTGTCTCCCCCTGCCGTGGCTGTGTCTGGATACAGGACACGAGCCTGCTACTTATTTCCAGCTGACAGTGTTCAGCTGGGAGAGGCTGAGGATCCTGGTTTTGAGCCTTCCTTATGGCCCTGATTTCTGCATGCATCATAGATCCATTGCTATGTGGCATAGAGTTAATGCAGGATTGTCTCTTGAGGCATACGGCTCCACTCACTGTCTCTATGGCTGACACCAAAGTGTCTGAGAGAGGACCCATTGTGTGTGTCTCTGAGTTGGGAAGGACATGTCCAGCCTGGCAAGATCCTTGTTGGATTCCCTGCCAGGGCCGTCCTTAGGCATACACAGCATACGCAGTTGTGTAAGGCACCATGAAATTTGGGGCACCAAATTGCCCCAAATTTCATGGTTCCCTAGGCAGCTGCGTGCTGCATATACGGCAGCACCAGCCCCGGTGACCAGGCCTATTCCTTGGCTGCCCCGCCCTCCCCCCCCGCGGGCTGCACCCACTGCAAGAGGCAGGGCCGTCCCTAGGGGGCTGTGGAGTCCCGGACAACTCCCTCTGCCCTGCCCCTTCCCTTTCCCCTTCCTCCCTGCTCCGCCCCCGGCCCACCCCATTCCACCTCTTCCCCCAGTGACCCCGCACTCACCAGCAGCGTCGGGAAGCGGAGCAACCCGGCCCCAGCCAGCTCTATTCCTCCAGCTCCCAGCCGCGGTGCTCCACTTCCCGCCGCCGGTGAGTGCAGCTCCGCTTTCCTTGCCCCGGCCCCAGCCATGTCGCTTGGGTTGGGGAAAGGACCGCCCCCGGCTCTCACTGGTGGCTAGAAGTGGAGCGCCGTGGCTGGGAGCTGGCAGAGTGGAGCGAGCTGGGGCTGGGCTGCTCCGCTTCCCGCCACTGCTGGTAAGTTGGGGGGTGGGGATCCCTTCCCCCAAACCCCCTCCCCTGAGCAGCTGCTCCCGGCCCCTTACTAATCCCCCGGGCCACTCTGGGCCTGTGGGGCCCCCCAAAGTGCCCCCCACAGCTCCTGCCTCTCAGACACTGGGCAGGCTGCGTAGGGCACCCAAATGGCTAGGGACAGCCCTGACCCTGGGCTGCATTAATGCACTGTATGGAAGGCTTGTAGGAATGTCAGTGGGGTGGATAGTGGGACTAGAGTGAGCTCTGAAAGCCCCATCCCGCTAGCTTGTGAGCGCCAGGAGATATCGCTGCTGGAAGCAGTAGAGGGCCCTGTGTGGTCTTTGTGAGCTACATTCCAGAGCGCGCCAGGCTGAGGCACACATACACATTCCCAGCATGTCATGGCTCCTGAGGTGAATCCTGAGCTATTAGAGGCCTCAGTGCCCATGGCCTCTTACTAAAGGGGGATCCCTGGGCCATGGGACCCCGAACGTCCTCAAGGGG